GGGGGGAATAACGAGGTAAGACCATGGAAAAGGAGGAGGAGCGAAACAGGACGGCATTGCGCGGCACAGCACGCGGAGTATTCTCCCGTATAGAACGCATGTGATCATTACGTATGCCCACATGCATTGCAGGGCACTGCTTCCTCCGGTGCAGTCAATCATGCCCCCATGTGTTCTATTCGAGAGGAGGAAAGGCGGACATCGCGCGCACAGTCGATTGCGCACTCAGTTTTTTTCGCATCCCATCATTTCGAAAAAGGTCAAGACACAAAAATACCAAAAACAAATACACAAGAAATGAAATGAAGAAATTATTTAAATTACCAGCTTTCTAAATTGAAAAAAATGCCAATAAAGAGGTTAAAATTAAATGAACAATAGATAGATATTAGACTACATTATTACGTAAATAAATCAATAATAATGGAATACGTAATCCGCACTCGGGAACCGAATCCCATCATCACTCCTCAAAATGACAAAATAACATATAATTAACGAAAATAATCAGAAATAACTAAATCGCTTCTGTCAGGGTCCACTTCACCAGACGCGAGGCAAAGTCCCCCCCTTTTTAGCCGTATTTTTTCTTCCTCTCTGACCGCAGATGATTCCAAAGATCCATTTACTACTTCCATCCAAAAAAAAAAAAAAAAAAAAAAAAAAAAAACCATTATCAAGATCCAACGCTCAATCTCTTTTATCTTACCTTATCTATTTAACCATGCCGGTAGAACACGGGAGCGGGGAAAGTATTAAAAAATAAATAAATAAAAAAAGAACACGGGGGGCGCAGTAAGGTGAAGTTGTTTGGGCTTGGCTAAAGGGAAGGAAAGGCTGGCAGCACACTCGCACTACCTTTTTCGACTCGCTCTGGACGTGATTACTGACAGATGCATCCAGCTCCGCCCGCAATTGCGGTCAGATACATTGAGGAAAGTGCTAGTGTGAGTATGCCCGCTCAGTCAATTGGAGTAGCGAGAGAGAGACACGGAGAGAGAGAGAGAGAGAGAGGAGCTCGACAAAAAGGGAGTGGGAGTGAGGATTGTCGATCTTGGTAATTGTAATCTACGGTCCGAATAAAAGCCAAAAAAAAAAGCCAACAAAGGGAATGATGTCGATGGGTTTTAACTGTTAAGCTGAAAAAACATATAAGGTAATTTAATCATAACTTTTCTAATCTCGCGAAGAACCACTGGAAATTGGGGGGGGAACAGGGGGGGGAGGAGAGGGAGGGGGGGGGGAGGGAGAATAAAGAAAAGGTTGAAAATAGGAGAGACCTGTATACACCCCCTTCAGTAAGGGGGATGGCAGAAAAGATTAAAAACAGACAATAACAGGGAAAAAAACTACAAGAAAGGCAAAGAGAAGGGGGTCAGAATTAAGGACAGAAAATTTATGGCCCTGAGAGAGAGGAGAGAGAGAGGATTGAGAAAGGAAAGAGAGAGAGAGATGGTAAAGGTACTGCACGAGATCGGAGCACATTACAAGCTCAGCATAGTTTCGCGTCCATCCCGCAGTGCTACTCTCTCTCTCTCTCTCTCTCTCTCTCTCTCTCTCTCTCTCTCTCTCTCTCT